CAAGTGAAATTTTTTTTTTAATAAAAAAAAATTTTTTAAATGTCGGCTGACTTAATTTTCATTTTAATTAAATAATAAAAAATGTCGGCTAACTTTATAATAATTTTAAACTTACCGCAAGGAAAGACATGAAAAATAACGCCAACATAATTGCGATACTGATAAAATTTTTATGTTTGAGCTTTGGGATAGCAGTCCGCTGCATTTTGAGTTGTTATTATTATTTCTTAGGTAAAATAATAAAATACTGATGACTAATACATTGAAGATCCACTTGTCGTATTGATTTTCCGAAATTTCAAATATTCATCTTTAAATTTTTCACCATGAGCAACAAATAATCAATACAAGATGACGAGAATAAAAAAAGCATTTATATATTTATTAAATATTTGAGTGCACTATGGACAGGCCAAGGCGAGGACACGAAACTTGGACAATCGATGATGATCTTTCGAGACGGAACAATAAACTGTAGTCACACTTAGTATTTTAGTGTTATTTAATTTGTTTTTTTATATCAAATAATTGATATTATTATTTTTTACACTTATTTGGGGTTTACTATTGTTTTTGTAGTAAAACTTGTAATACTACTTGTATCACTAAATATAACAAAATGTACTAAAGAGTAAACGGGAGAGATGCTAACTGGTGCTGCATGACGAGTTCAGTGTTTAGTTGTGACAGGCGATACGAAGACGCACGAACTCACCCGATCCCGCGAGAAAGTTTCTCTATTTCGTAATATCTGCCGCGCATGCGCAGTTTTGTTTTTTATAATTACGTTTAATCAGTGTTTATATTGTTGGTGATAATTTTATTGGTATTTATTTGTTTTAATTTATTATTTATTGAAGGTAATTAGTAATTAATCGCTTTAATTTATGACACTAAAAAATTATTTTTAAAAAATTGCAATTTTAATTTTTAAATGTCAATTTTTTTTTTGCTATTATTTATTTGTTATTAAATTATTAAATATATGCTCAATTAATTTTTATTAAAAAAATTGCATTTTTAATTTTTTAAAATTATATATAAAAAAAATTCAAGTCGAAATTTTAAATAATTTAATTTTTTTAACAATAATTTAATTGTTAATTAAAAAATAAAATTATAAAAAATATGACATTGAATTTAGCTGTCAAAAATTCTTTAATTTTATTTAACAAAAAAATTTGTTCCATAAAATTATTTTAAAAATATTGCATTTTTAATTTTTTAAAAAAATTTATTTTAAATTTAAAGCAAACATTAATTAAAAAGATTTTTAAAAGCCCGCCCTCACTTTTAATATTTACTTTGCACGATAGAGGCGCTGCGTGTGGTTTTTAATAATAAATTTAAAGTTTAAGTCAGGTACTTGAATAAAAATCCAAACGTTTTACTAATAATTTCTTTAAGATTTCCTTTAATAATATTTTTATTATTTTTTCATAAAATTTAAGAATTAAATTCGGAGTTAAACCCGTCTAGTATTTTTAATTAAGTAGTAAAAAATTGTTTTGATCAGACGCTTAATCCGAGGATTATATTCAAGTAAGTAGTCAAGATTTATTTTTGTCAGCCGGGATCACGCGTTATTAATTTTTTTATATATTTTTTATTCGACTATTTCTTTATTTATTTATTATTCATTAAATTATTAAATTTATAAATTGAATTTAAACAGATTCTAATTCAAAATTGATTTTGTTCTATTATTATTTTTTATTCTTTAATCTTTAGATTTTCATTAATTAATTGAACTAAAAATGATTCTTTGGAGATTAAATCTTAGTGACTCGACTATCGCGCTTATTTTAGATTTTTTTTTAATAATTATTAAATAAATGAGATATAATTACCTTAAAAACCCGTGAACTGCAGCAGGAAATGTAATCAATCCGTCTTAAATCTAATTATAATCTACTTAAAGCTAATTACGAGCTAATTAAAACTAAAGGGAAAGGAATCAGTTAAATAATAAGGCAGAATTTTATTCGTTAGTGCGAAATAATTCGCTTTATTGAATAAAAAAAAAAAAAAAAATTACGCGACTGGGGACGCAACTGTGCGCATTCACCTGCAATTAATATCGTTAACCGGTAACGATATTAATTGCACCGGCCTTTGTTTAGCTTTTTAAAGCCAAACTTTTAGGAAACCCCAGGGAAACCCGGCCGACACAGCTTACATAATTAAACCACTTGTTTAATTGGCTCAAAAATAACATACATCATACATCACACATACGAATTATCTTCACACTCATACAATCATACGATATACAATTTTATACATTTATAAAATTTTTTATTATTATTAATATTAAAAAAATGGGAGTAAATGAATGTACAGGGGCGCTAAAACAGGAAAAAATTAAAAATTAATAATATTGAGAGTAAATAATCATAAAAATGATGAAATAAAGAAAATAAATGTTATGAATATTATTGAAAGGTAAATAAATATAAAGAAGCTGGAATAAACAATAATAATTGTTATAATAAATATATTATTGGGGATTAATTAAAAAAGGGTGCTGAAAAATTTGAATTATTATTATTATTAATATTATTGGGATAATTAAAAATAGGGGTGCTGAAAAATTAAAATTTGTATTATTATTAATTATATTATTGGGGATTAAAATAATAAGGGTGCTGAAAAGTAAAAGAAAAATTATTATTCTTAATATTGGAAAATTTAAAAATAAAATATAATTATTATTATTAAATTAATTGGGGATTAAAAAATAATAAGGGTGCTGAAAAGTGAAAGATAAATTATTGTTATTAATATTTTTAGGGATAATGAATTTCGGGGTGCTGAAAAATTACATAAAATAAATTATTATTAATATTATTAGGGGTTAAAATAATCGGGGTGCTAGAAAAGAAAATCAAATTATTATTAATTATATTATTGGGGATTAAAATAATAAGGGTGCTGAAAAGTAAAAGAAAAATTATTATTCTTAATATTGGAAAATTTAAAAATAAAATATAATTATTATTATTAAATTAATTGGGGATTAAAAAATAATAAGGGTGCTGAAAAGTGAAAATTAATAATATTGAGAGTAAATGAACATAGAGAATATAGAGAAGCTGGAATAAACAATAATAATCATTATTGGGGATCAATTAAAATGGGGGTGCTGAAAAATTTGAATTATTATTATTAATATTATTGAGATAATTAAAAATAGGGGTGCTGAAAAATTAAAATTTGTATTATTAATATTATTGGGGATTTTAAAATAAGGGGAGCTGAAAAGCAGAATAAAATCATTGTTATTAAAATAATTGGGGATTTAAAGAATGGGGATGCTAAAAAAGAAAATGAAATTATTATTATTAATAATATTATTAGGGATTCAATAATATAGGGGTGCTGAAAAGTGAAAGAAAAATTATTATTATTATTATTATTATTATTATTATTATTATTATTATTATTATTATTATTAATATTATTAAGGGTTTTAAAATAGGGAGAGCTGAAAAGTAAAATGAAATTATTAGTTATTATTATTAACATTATTAAGGATTAAAAAATGTAGGGGTGCTGAAAAATCTAATAAAATTATCGTTAATAATATAATTGGGGATTAAAAATATAGAGATGCTGAAAAGTAAATAAAATTATTATTATTAAATTAATTGGGGATTAAAATAATAGGGTTGCTGAAAAAGACATGAAATTATTATTATTAATAATATTATTGGGGATTAAATAATATCGGGGTGCTGAAAAATGAAATTAAATTATTATAAATAATATTATTGGGGATTACATTAATGGGGATGCTGAAAAGAGAATAAAATTATTATTATTAATTTTATTGGGGAATGAAAAATATCGGGATGCTGAAAAGTGAAAGAAAAATTATTATTATTATTATTATTATTATTATTATTATTATTATTATTATTATTATTATTATTATTATTATTATTATTATGGGGGGTTAATGAATGGACGGTAGCTGAAAAATAGATTAAAATTATATAATATTAATTAGCGAGGGAGTAAATTTGGGAAGCTGAAATAAAGACCAATAAGCCGGTCTGGCTTACGAATCCTGTTGCTCCTGGTCCGTGGCTAAATCCTTGAATTTCCTGATTCTTTAATCCTTGGTCGTCGGTCCTATCCTTGAATCCTTGACTCCTTCAATCCTAGATTGCGTCCTGGTCCGTGGATGAATCCTTGTGTTCCCTGAATTTTTTATCCTTGGTCCTTGAATCCTGGTCCTTAATCCTTGGTCTCTCCATCTAAACAAAACACAGAACCACACTAATAAGTTACATGTTATAATTTTAATCACTATTTTAAAACACTAATTTTTCTTGAGTAATCCTTACATTTGGTCCTTGGTTGAATTACTTTATTCCTTGTTGAATCCTTTGGTTAGTCCTTTCCTTGAATTTCCTCTTGAATCCTTGAATCCTTGATTGCTTCCTGGTCCTTGGCTGAATCCTTGAATTCCCTGAATTTTTTATCCTTGGTCCTTGGTCCTTGAATCCTGTTCCTTAATCCTTGGTCTCTCCATCTAAACAAAACACAGAACCACACTAATAAGTTACATGTTTTAATTTTAATCACTATTTTAAAACACTAATTTTTCTTGAGTAATCCTTACATTTGGTCCTTGGTTGAATTATTTTATTCCTTGGTGAATCCTTTGGCTCCTTGATTGAATCCTTTGGCTACCTGTATAAACACACTAAAACACTCATTAACAGCCCCTTTTTTACCCTCTCGATTTTAAACTAATTATTTATTTTAACAAATTCATAATAACGATAAAAGCGATCTAATTAAAAAATTCGCGATAATTCTCAGTGTCAAATAATGAGGTTGATGATGAATGTCAAATTGATTCACTACACTAAATAGAAAGAAAAAAATTTACAAAATAGGCAACGAATTGACCGCAAAAAGTAGTTCTAAATACTTTTACGAGTCAATTGTATGTGCCTACGCACGTGACTCTAATTTATTTAATGATTTATTTATTATTAATTAATTAATTATTAATAACGACGGTAAGTGTATTCTATTGAAGTGTAAGGGGAGGTTTTGTCTGAGTTGGCTCTCACGACAAGGGTAAGGAAGAAGAAAAAAAGTGACTCTAGTAGGCACGATCGGCTCCCGAAATATCAATTAACTCTACTTTATTATTTTATTAATGAATGACAAATAAGGGTGGTAAGG